GTAGTTCTTCCCACCGAATCCCAGAACAAAAGCAGACTTAGCCTGGAGGTATGCCTCATCTGAAATAGGCTTTTATTTACTTCTGATTTAAAAACATTTTTCTCATTTCATGAATGCATATTTATAGGACAATTTAAAACAACCAATTATATAAACAACTGGGCTAACATAAAAGGTGGTAGTTATTTGAGGTGGAAATCCCAGTAACAGGAGTAAATGCAGATGCAGATAGAACTGTATGTAATTAGATGAAAGATAGCATGTCCTAGAAAACATTTTCTGGTGAATCACAAGTTGACCTTTTGGAGACAAGGACATTGCTGTCAAAATGCATTTAAATTATTCAAATGAAATTCTTTCATGAAATCAAGAAAGCAAAGTAGTAAAATATTTAATATATTTATTCCTTTTAGTAAATAATTACTAAATCAAATAAAGAAAGTAGGGGGAAATCCCTGTTCCCAAAGAAGTTATTTCTATTGACTGTCCTCATCAGTCAGTGGAGCCTTCCATTCCCACTTAACCTTTGCTTCACTGAGCCTCTCAATCCCACCCAGGGCTTAAGATGTTTGTTATATTTGGCTTCATTCTCCTATTACTCATCTTCTGACTCTGGTTCTTCCTTTTCTTCACCACCTTCCTCTTCACTACCTTCCTCTTCACCACCTTCTTCTTCACCACCTTCCTCTTCACCACCTTCCTCTTCTTCTGGGGCCTCTTCATCTGCGGCCTCTTCTTCTGCGGCCTCTTCTTCTGGGGCTGCTACTGGTGAAACCTCCTCTGGAACCTTTTCTTTGGTCTCTGCTGGTGCAGCACGTGACTTACGTAAACACACACAGACGCAATAAGTAATTAGACATGCTAATATCAAGAGAAGAAGTACAGGAAGTAATACTATTAGCACGTCTAGGATGGGTTTCTGTTGCAGATTAACAGAGTTATCACTTCCACCTTGTCCTGGATGATCTTGTTGTTCCTTGCCAGGAGGACCACTGTCCTCACTGCCCCCAGGGCCTGGTTCTCTGCAGTCAGGAGGGGCAAAGCCAGCCTCACAATGGCAGTGTTTTAAATTGTTGCACACTCCTCTCCCATTACACATTACAGCTGGATCACAGTCATAGTTGAGCACAGAGTAATCGGTGCAGGAGTTATCCATACAGACTTTGTTTGGGGCACAGTAAGTCCCAGGCTGTACATCTCCAGCATCAGGGATGTCAGTACCATTATAGGCATCCATGCCAAAGCACCAGTTATCTTCATGAGAGATCTGGATCACTGTGTGTTGGGGTTTGATTGATGGTAAGTATTCAATATTTGTACATACAATTTTCCCACAGAATACATTTTCATTTGTACATTGAACATAATTTGGGTTAGAGCTAGTAGGATGGCCACAGTTTCCAAACCGGTCGCCTTTGCTATTCATTGAAGTATAACAGTCTTCTGGGGCAGACCTTGCTTCGTGCCCAAAAATATCCATGCATTGATGATCAGGATTCTTACATTGACCCCCAAGACAATAGTTCACTCTTTCACAAGTTGTGCCATTTTGCTTGTACCTGTCTGCAGGACATTCTCCAGAGTCACCAAGACAATACTCTGGGAGGTCACACTCTCCTGTAACACGACGGCACACAATTCCCTTTGCTTTAAATTTGCAGGCAGAGCAGCAGAGTCCTTGACTGCACTGTGTACCTGGCTTCAGATTACATGTTGGGTCACAGCATGGGTGACTCTGACAGACAGGACCACAGTCACATTGCTCTGGGTCTTCCACCACCCCATTTCCACAGGTGGCATCCCTACGCATGCGACCTTTGTGCCCTGGCTTATTAAATAGACACTCCCCTTTGCGATCATGGAGGAACTGGTAAAAGAAGTTAGAGCTACAGTTGCTGAAACCGCTTTCTTTTGTGATATTTTCATGCATGAGGCAAAAGTACTTATCTTTACAAATGCAGGCTGAATGGTCGTGCTCAATACCCAAGTTGTGCCCCAGCTCGTGGACCATGAGTGCTGCAAACAGGAGGACATCCTCGTGATGGAAGGATTCAACAGCTGCTGCAAAATCACTGGAACAGGCACCGTTGAGAAATGCCCGTCCCATGTTCTGTCCAGGATGATGCCCGACAATCATGTGGGCAACATCATGCTTCACACGCTGGAAGAGCTTCTGCTGTCTCCAGCGGTTGAAATTCCTGAGCGCAACTTGCAAGTCCACCGGGACCTCTATCAGGTCCCCCTTGGTCCAGATCTCCATCCCAGCCAGCACCACCTCTGTGTTTATTCCCTTAGTGAAGCTGTTGGCCAGAGCAATGATGTCCATCACTCCCTGGATGGTCTCACTGAC